CAGTTCTGATATAAGACTATTCTCTTTAGAAAGGAATCATGCTATATTAATGAGATACTTAAAGGTTTTTTTTTTTTTACATAATCTTGCATAAAAAAGTACAGGATTCCTTTCCATTTGTCTTCTTGTTTCCTTGGTTTAGTTTGGGGTGGACTTTTAGAAGGAGAAACACCACAAGCAAAACACATTAACAATCACTGCTTTGGGTCAGTATCTTCCTCTCTAACAGAAAAACCTAACCAAATAAGTAAATAAGAATCTTACCACCCCCTGAGAGTTAAGATTTAGGTTAGTACCACCCCATCTTTCATTATTCTTTTCAACTTTCACAATCAGGAAAGATCATAGGGTTTCTAATCTTATTAAGAAAACAAGAACATATTATAGAATAGAGTGAGAATTAAGCCACTTTCCAAATACTGTAAGACTTTCATAGTTAATCCCTTGTTGTTTCTGCTAATTAGGAATGACATAAGGATTGCCGAATCTCCCCAAGAGATTTCACTACAAGATCAAAGAGAACATAGAAAGATGAAGTAGGAAGTTTTATACCAAAGTAAGTTTCTGATGCAATAAAGAGAGCAATGAAATGAAAAATGCATAGAGTGTGCCACCTGAACTTGGTTTTTTGTTGTTGTTTGTTTATTTTATTTTCTCTGCACTGGGCATCAAATCCAGAGTCTGAAGATAGAATGACTGAGTCCAGGACTTGAAGAATGCTAGAAATTAAGGCTGCTGAGAGCATCCAGTGATCCAGCTGCTCACCTCGACATTGTCCTGTGTTAATTACTTCTCTTGTTGCTGGGATAAAATACTTGATGCCCAAAATTAAGGAAAAGGTTTATAAGTAAATAAGTTCACAGTTCGTAGAGGTTTCAGTCCATAATCAGCTGCCTCCAAGACAAGGTGGCATGGCGGAGGGACAGCCATTCATGGTGGTATGGTGGTAGGAGATACCAAATACAACAAGAGCAAAAAAGGGAGGAGCAAAAGGGGCAAAGAGAGGATCAAGTCTCTTTCCACCCCTTATAGTGTGCAGGCTACCCTCCTTAGGGGAGGTGTAGCACTCACACCCACTAGTCCCAGCACTGGACAATGAGCCAATCTCAAATTCTAGATTCAGCTACCTCCAAAAAGCCCACCCTCATGACTGCATGAGGCTTTGGGGGACTCCAGACACTAACCATGACAGCCCTCCTTTTCTCTCTATGTCTGTATATTGGCTGTTGAGTATCCAGGTTTTATTACCCAGGACAGCTGCTTTTGAACCTGGCTAGGAATGTGGAATAGATTACGTTATAAAGAGTCCAGAGGCACTACCTACTGCTGTGGGGTTTACTAGAGCACCATCCTATCTTTAGACAAGTCTATGCAAAAAAGTGAAAGTCTGGCGCAAGGATTTTTACCATGTCTCACTAATACTTACATACACTCGGGAAAGATTCTTAACCACATCACAAATGGATAATACAGTCACACCGAAGGAGAAAGGCAAGAAAAAACAAACTCAAATAACTTTGGAAAATAATATTTTGCCTGAATACTAAGCCTAAGATAAAATAATTGTAAAAATACTGTATTCTAGTTAGTACATTTGCTTCCATGCTGTTTTGAGTTAGAACCTCTGAAACTACTTTTGTAATATAGAAGGACTGAACTAATTCGTAAATAGAATGTGGATAAGAAGATCCAGGTTTCTCATTGTCAGAGAAAGGAATTGCAAATGAGCAAGAAGGAAAAGCTGCCCTGAAATCTGTGATGCTAGATTAGCATTGAAAACATCATTATGAATACACAATTACTTAGCATAGACTTGGATAGTACAGAAGTCAGTCCTGTGTTGTACTGAAAGGAGATGGATCAGTAGATGTCAGTACATTTTAGTATGTATACAAATACACAAATGTAGAAATAAATACGATGTGTACGTATGCACAACTCTCACTGCTATGAGGGCCTAGAAACAATGACAACTCAACACTGAGAAGCAACTGATTTGGTTTCTAAAGACCATTCTCCAATAAATGGAACCAAGGTTCTGTGTAGAAATGGTTGATTGCAAGACGGGGGCAGTGAAAATTAAAATGGGTTTTTGGTAGTGCCATAAACACAGGAAGTGCTCAAAAAAAGACGGAATCCTGTTAAAAGGGCAGAGGAGCAATCTTTGAATAACTATCAATGAGACCATAAAAAATGAAGAATGAATAAATGGAGGAGAAGGGATAATCCTTCCTTCTAGAAGAATCTGAAGTCAGGCATTGTGGTACACACTTGTAATTCTAGCTAACAGATAGCCTAAGGCAGAGATAATAAGCTCAAGGCCGGCCTGGGCAACACAGCAAGAGCCTGTCTTAAAATGAAAGATAAAAAGGGGTGGAGATGGAGCTCAGTGGCACAAAGCTTGTCTCACATGTGTGTAGGTTCAATGTCTAGTAATAATGGTGGAAAAAAAGAATTTCAATGAATACTCCTAAAGAAATGAGGGAAATACAAAATCATTAGAAAAATAACATCTTAATAATTGCTACAGTCAAGATCTACCATTGGCTGTTAAAATTATTTGGTGAGCCAGGATGTGGAAGTGCCTGCTTGTAGTCTTAGCACTCAGGAAGCTGAGGCAGGAGGATCATTGAATTCGAGGTCACCTTAGGCTAGATAGTGAGTTCAAGGCAGGCCTAAATTATATAGTGAGAACTTGTCTCAAAAAAAAAAAAAAAAAACAAAAAAAACCCCATAAATAAATAAATCAAATTATATAAATAAAATTAATGGGTGAAAGTTTAAGGAAAAACAGGGTATTTATAATAGTCTTAAAATACAATAAGGACATTTACTAACTATGAAAAGGAAAATAGTAATTTTACAATGGAGAAACATAGCAGATACAAACTTAATCAGGTGATCAAGATTAACATCAATGACTATGAAGTCCCCAATGTCACATATCAAGAAACCATACTTCTGATAGTATTCTCACCCAAAAAACATGCACAACAGTCAAGCTGAAAACCCAAGTTGGGAGACATTCTACAAAACACTGGTCAGTTTTCTGCATTTTAAAAGATAAGGAAAAACCGAGGAACTGTCACATACTCAGGAGAGCAAGAAGATGTAAATAATTATGACGTAATAATAAAATGCAACATGGAATCATGGATTGAGTCTTGAAACTGAAAAAGGACAGCATCAAAAACTGGTGATTTTCTAAAATGGTCTACTGATTTAATAATGATATTTAATGGTATGGTACCCACCATAACATCCCAGTTTGGTAATTACACTATGTTCATGTATGATTTTAACATTAGGAAAAACTGGCTCAAGGGTATTTAGGAACTCTGTATTACTTTTGCAACTACTCTGTATGCCAAAGATTATTTCAAAATAAAAGCTTAAAATGTAATAAGATATAGGTAAAAATTAAGCAGAATCTATGGCAAAGTGGAGAGAACATATTCACAATCTGTCACTTTCCCTTTTAAGTATACTGACATGTCCTTTTAAAGTCAAGTAATCTATTTTTTAGATGGGGCACTAATTTTGTAAAACTCTATGTGTAACATTCATGTCTAAGTATCATCTAAAACATATCTGATTTCTTAATATACAGTAAACTTTTAATACAATTCAAAAATTAAAATTTGTGGAACTCATGTGTTACTCAGTTCTCACTGGTTGGGTAACATCCATGGCACTTTTCAGGGATGTCTTTTCAAGATGGCCCCTGGACACTTATTCCTCTCTCTGTTTTCTCTCAGAAATCTTTACTATCATGATAGTAGAACACACTAATTCTGTCTCATGAAAAATGTAGATCTAACTTTCTCATCATCCTCAAATATCAGTCTCAACTCAACAAGCTCTCCTACCACATTTCTCTTATTCCTGAAAATGAAAACTGTCACCAATTTTTTTCTAGCTGAATAATTATGACTTTTGCCTATTAGTCCCAGATTCCACCTTCAAAAGTTCTTTTTTTAAAATCACTTTGACTACCTTAATCCTTTTTGTATATTTTTTGTGCCCATATTATATTCAAATTTCTATTATTGATTTCCAGGGCCCTTAGAAGTCTATTGCCACATTTATCAAGCTCTCTCAATATCTTTCTAATATTCTCTTTTCTCTCTCTCTCTTTTTTTTTTTTGTCTTTTTCATTTTTATCGGTACCAGGGATCGAACTCATGACTGCACACTTGCAAGGCAGGCACTCATGCCGCTGAGCTAAATCCACAGCCCCTCTCTTTTCTCTTATTAAATCCATTCATTCATATATTTATTCTACTAACTCTCACTTAATTTCCGCAAGGCCTAAGGCCCTAAAGTGGTTGTTCTAAGAGACAGAAAACAAACATGCTGTATTTTTCTTCTGTTATCCAACCATCTTATGTATAAGCCTTCCAAGTAATTCATTTTACATGAAATGTTATCAGCCCCAAATTCAGATGTTACCAACTGCCCTTCATTCATCAATATAAAATTGATCAAGTATTTTCATAGTAATCAAAAATGAAAGAAAAGGTAAAATTTTAAAAATGCAAACCAATATAAAGAGAAGCACAGATGAAAGTGGCTCACTGCCTTAGGATCTGAGCTACCAAAAGCAAGTAACTTGTTCTCATACTTTCTGAATAACCCAGATACAATGGACCAAGGTAGAAGTTAGGTCAAAGTAGAAGACAAGCTTTCAAAAATTGCCAGAGAGACACCTAACAGGTTAAATGTGACTTGAAGAAGGTAACTTAGTCAGGAGCCCTACATTTATCCTTTCATTTCCCCAGGATTCTCCACAATATAAACATTCTAGAAAAAAGAGTCCCAGAACAGGAATTGGTGCACGGGTCTGTGCCTCAGGTTAGCTGGGCTCCACATAACAAATGGCAGGGCAATTTTGTTACCTAGGATGAGACTCACATGAGCTTAATGTTTGTCTCACCTCTGATGAGCTTCTTTTCCTTTCTACTATAGACTGCTGAATAAAGAGACACTGTAACACTGACCTGGTGATTTTCTTTGAAAGTTTGGATTAGTAGCTCTTTCAGCTCCCTTTTTCTTTCTTTAGCCGCTTTTTCTCCATCCAGAAGAATACAAGCACTTGGAAATATGTCTTTATCTGGATCCTTTTGAAGATTTCCTTGCTGTTTCCTCTCCCTGTTAATAACAATTTTAAAATACATGTGTGTGTAATGGATTTAATAATGGGGAAACTACAACTCATTCTAGTGGAACGAACAGTGAATTCTGCTTCAACAGACACACATATTTAGATCAGGTTCTAAAACTGTGCTTTTTAAGGGGAGGAGCCGTATTCTTTTATAAATATGGATTATACAAAATAAAACTGTTAAAAAGTACCTTGACAAATAGAAAGGCCTATAGGTATTTCAGTAAAGCATTTTTAAAATTTAACACTGAGCTATCCTTTGATTAAAATTTGAAAACTAACAACTATTAAGTATTCTCTAAAGTAAGTTTTCTTTCTTCTTATTAGGAAGTAAAAAGGATTCTCAAGTGAGAAAGGAGTGAGAGTCTTATTACAAGGTTTCTAGGAAGAAAAACAAAAGAATGAAATGTTATTAAGGAGAATCTAGAGTAACTCTAAAGTAGCCAAAAGACAAAAAATAAGAACTTTAATGACCAAGGAAAGACATTAAGCAAATCTAGAAGCTCTTAGTCATTGTGTTACTCTTTCCTGTCTCTCCTTTTTCTTGCCATTCTGTCTGTCTGTCCTCACCAAGGTCCTCGGCTCACAGCTGCTACCTTCTTACTGGAGTATGGTTAACTATATAGGTACAAATATATAAAGTACATATGGTAAGTCCCTGAGTTACAAACATCCGAGTTACGAATTTTCATAGATACCAACCAACCTCACATTATCAACATTCATAGATATGAACAAATCATGGCAGCAGCTCATGTGTCACCAGACAAGGTCACAGCTGTGCTGCTGTGTACTTCCTGCACAGTGCAATAGTGTATAGTAGTACGGTACAGTTGAGGACTTAGTGTTTTTATGTGTGCATGTTTGGGTTTTTTATGCTTTACATTTTTTTTTTTTTGTCTTTTTCCTTTTTATCGGTACCGGGGATCGAACTCACGACTGCCTGCTTGCAAGGCAGGCGCTTATGCCGCTGAGCTAAACCTCCATCCCCCAATGCTTTATATTTTATACAGGACCATTAAGACTCATTGTATTGGACTTTCCAATGAATCTCACTTATGAAGCTTTTCCCAGAATACAGCTCTGGGTGAGTCAGGAACTGACCATACTATTAATGATACAGTACTATTAATGATAGTCAGAAATCAAGATTCCTTGTGTGGCCACAAACAAACTATGAAAATAGCCAAGTCACCTAGTCTTCACTTTACAGTTGAGAAAATTGAGACTGAGAGGGATGCCTAATTACAGACATATTCTAATATATGGTACAGAGGGCACACAATGTTATTACTGGTGATGTTAACCTTTTACACCTTGTTAAAGAGAGTTCTCTGGCATTTTTCCCTTTGTAATTAATAAGCATCTTGAGGGAAACACTTTAAAATTATGTAATACAGGTGATTCAGATAGCTTAGAAGTTATAAAGCCCTATCAAAATTGACTTTCACTAATTTCATAGCAATGTCTATTATAACTTTTATTTTAATTGTCTTTGTACATAAATCTTTGTTTGGATTTCTGATCATTTTCTTAGGGCTATTTTCCTAAGACCAGAATTCTCAGGCCAAGGGAAAATACCATTTGTGGTCTCTTGTTTGTTGTTTATTGCCAAATTGCTGTTTGGAAAGTTTAAATCAGTTCATCTACCTAGAAGCAGAGCCCATTATCTGTCACACTGTAACTATGGGTAAGCTTTCAACTTTTGTAAGAAATGACTCGTCAGAGAACATTTGTAAGTGCCCACTGTGAATACAACATCCTGCTACCATCAACCATTACTTTTTTTCACCATTTATCTTAGGTCAACCTAGTTTTTCCAGGGTTTGGGAGCAATTTGAAAAGCAAGGTTGACCCTAGAAAGAACTCACTAAAACACTGGTGATTGCTTTCTGAAAGGAACAGCACCTGGAGGAGACATGAGCCTGGCACTTGAAGGAGTGAAGCACATGTCCACTGCAGAGCTGTTTTAAATTGGGCAGAATGAGAGCAATCAAGAACACAGGGAGAAAGACAGTGTAGGCTGATGCGGGTGGAAACATTATCTAATAGGTCTTTCTGGCTTTTTAGTAAGAATATATTCAGACACTTTAGTCGCGTTGTTCCAAGACTTTTTCAGTTCATGCATCAGTGCCATTTCTCAGAATAAATACATTAGTTATTTTACATGTGAAGCTCATTTTCTGCATAAGGATGGATAATAGTACTATAGCCTGTGGGGACTATTTTCATTTTCCTTTTATGTCAGGTATTTTTCCTTTGTCAGTGGCAAAAAGGTAATAGTGACTTACTCTATGATTATCAGAAAATAAAGTACTAACAATTCACAGTAAGAAAAGGCACAATTACTGAACTGTAAAAGGAAGGCATAAGAAAACATGTTCACCCTTAAATATACTACCCAACAAAAGAAATGCAAAATAATAAAAATAATGCTTATTAAAATAATTCCTATTAAAAATGCAAAAATACTGAAAGTGATATAATCTCCAAGAATGGGCAGAGTGTGGGAAACTGGCCCACTGCCAGCAAGGCAGTAAATAAGTATAGTACAGCATATTTTGAAATCAATTTGGCAATGTTTCAAGTAATAAAGAGAGCTATATTATTTAAATCAGTAGTAATATGTCTAAGAATTTATCCTGAGAATGTAATTCAAAAGATTAAAAAAGCTATAGGCTTAATGATGCACACAGAAATATTGTTGAAAAATCAAAAATAGCTAAAACATTTTGCAAAATGCATAGGAGGTCATTAGATAAATTATGGTATAGGAACTCAACAAAACAGCAGGGATCAGGGCTCCAGGAAGTGGTTAATTACAGTAGAATAACAACTTAAATGTATTTTACGGTTGTATGGAAAGGGGCTAATACCAGGAGGAAACATAGAAAAATAAATTCATTAAATTGGTAGAAGAGCAGATAATTTTTTTGTGTTTTGTTATGGCAATGTTTATATATTTTACAAACTTTAGAGCACGTCCAAAATGACTGCTCAGACTCTGCACTGCTCAGCACGCTGGCTTACATCTTCCAGGCTTCTTCCACAGTGCGCCTTCTCTCAAGTATTTCCCTTCGCAGCTTTACCATCTCCCTCCGAATCTCCTCCTTCTCTTTCCTGGCCTCCAGAGCCTTCCTTTTCTTCTCTTCTTGCACAAGACACTGAGCCTCCAAGAAAGCTGATTTTTTCAAGGCCTTTTCCGTTCTCTGGCACTCCAGTTCTTTCTCACGTCTTAAACGATTTTCTTTAACCTTAGAATAGAGGGTGAGAAGCAGTCTTTCAGGCAGAACCTTAGAGCACATTTCAAAGTTCAGAATATAACCACTTTAAAATGGCATGGCCTGAGCCATACTGGACCTGGGAGGAATGATAAGAAGTCAATTTACCCTTTCCATGAGCTAGTGCAAGCCATGCAGGACCCAGGAAGAGAAATGAGCCAACTGGCCCTTCCCACGAGTAGACAGCAGCCATGCTGGGCCTGGGAGGAGTGGTGAGAAGCCAGTTTACCCTTCCAGTGAGCTAACTGGTGTGCAAGCTGGAAGACAACAATCCTTGTACCCAAGCAACCAGCTGATTCAGAGGACAGACCGAGTTGACAGCAACTGAGGTAATGAAACAATTTAATGCTGTTTGATTGACTTTGTAGGCCTAAATCAAGTAGGCTGAGCATCTATTGAAAGGATAACAATATGGGGGATTTCTGTCTTGTTTTTGAAATCCATATTGTTCCCACTATTATTTTGTTTTGTTTTATTCAATGTTCTGTTTTGTTCTGTCCTATTTGATTCTGTTCTGTTCTGTCTTGTTTGATTTTATTATATCTGATGGTATGGGCAGCAATTTTGAAGATAAAAAGAGGCATTATGGTTGCCATTAATAGCCAATAATATATTGACTTATTATTATCCTGTTTTGAAATCCTATTCGACTTTCACTGTTTTGACTCTATTCTATTTCATTTTGTTTGGTTTTATCTTCTTTAAAATATGCTTTCATTCTTTTGATTAGTTTTATACTGTTTTGTTTTGTTTGATTTTATTACGTCTGATGGTATGGACAGCTATTTTGAAGAAAACAAGAGACATTATGTTAGCTATTGTTGATTTTCTATTATCTTGTTTTTGAAGATCTGTATTACTTTCATTGTTCTGATTAGTTTTATTCTGTTTTTTGGTTTGGTTTTATTCTCTTTAAAATAAAATTTTTAAAAAATAAAATATTGTGACCTAGAACTACCCTGTGCATTGATAGAAATAGGGGGAAATCATCTGCTTACTGGTGAGGCCAATAAGTTTTATATGAAGGCAGACGATAACTCTCAAACAATCTGGGAAGGATTTGTATCATGTAAAAGCTGAGTCTAGAAGGCAGATCCCAAGTTTTAGATTCTTATTTAGAAATGATTTTCCACTCATAAGATTGTCCAAGGTGTTCAACTACTGCTTTTTTTTTTAACTGAGACTGTCTAACTTAAGAAAAAATAGGACTTTTTTTTTTTGAGGCTACACTGTGAAGGATATAACAGTGATTTGTTGCCATAAGGAGCACCATACCTCAATTCATTTCTAGTAATTTAAATATGTTAGTGATTCTGGATTATACTTGGAAATCAAAAACATAAACTTTGCTGATATTTTTAAATAAGCAGATTCACTTTTTCCTCAAAAACCTATTAATTCTTTAGAGCCCAGATCAGCTATGAATTAAGGAAGTTATCTTTTTACTTCTGTTTTACTTAACTTTACACCTACCTTTCTTTTCATTTGTGATAAGATACCTAGACAATGACCATATATCTCATTGAACCTCTTTTACTCCCTTTTGTCACAAAACCAAACCACAGTCACATTCCTGCCTCATTAATCTAGTATCCCCAGTACTGATTAGGAATACCTTAATTCCACATATTAATTCCAGTTCTGTGTTAGTCGTGGACAGGAGCCAAATACTGGGTCATTTCCTGAAGTTCCTTCAAAAAGTATTGAGACAGTCTTTTCCCCTACTACCTTGTATTCCCTCTGGAGAAAGAAAAGTTCCTGCATGCCTTTCTAATTCAAAACAGATGAACTAGATTTAATTCAGATCTGTCTTCCTTTTCAAATTATAATCACAAAATGAGTGAATTTCAGTTGTCTAAAAAAGAATTATCCTTATAATATTCACCAGAATATTCATAATATATTAATGTCACATTTCAAAAAGCAAATTCAAGCAAATGCAACCCACATATTTCTAATAGGAAGTATTACAATGAAACTTACAAAGCTTCATTTAACACTCTATTGGTCAAAATCAATTATTCTAATTTTGGTAATTTCTTCAATAAGTTGTTTCCTATCCTCAGTTTATGAGAATTATTTTTCATCTGAAGTTCTTATATTTTATTTTTATTCTTTCTAACCAAATCACAGATGGCACCCTTTTTCATAATAAAGCCTAAGTCTTTATTTAAGCTTATTAAATGTGTTACACAAAGACTGCTTCCTGTTATCCATTTTAATTTTGTTTTTCCCTCCCACCTGCTTATGTCTCATCTCCATGGTAAGACGAGGATCCTTCTGCTTCTTGTCTTGGTTTTCCTTCATTCCAAGATCTTCCAACATTCCAGAATCCACCAATTTTTTATGGAGCAGATGGTCTATAAATTTTTGAACAGCGGTACCTTCCTCTTCTTCCTCCAAATAGCCACATAAATCTGGGAGGAAAAAAAAAGAGGGAAATTAAAAGATTAATTTTAGTATAATATTCATGTTTATATGAGGAATACTGAAAAAACAAAGCTGTGTCTGTTAAATAGTACATGATAATCCAGTTGGAGGAATACAGCCCTCGGCACTTATCTTCAGCTGAGTGGAAAATGCTCTACTTGTCAAGAACCACTCTCACCCACATTGCTAACACCTTCTTTACAGTCAAATCTAAAAGTTCAGTCTAAACAAATTTTCAAACACTACTAATAAAGCCATACTGTTTAACTGACTGAAAATGAATCACAAATGTTTAAAGTCTTTAATAAATTTTGACACCTGAAAATGCTAATAAAGCCATCACCACACTCAAGATAATGAACATATACATCAACCCAAAAAAGTGTCCTCATGCTGCTGTGTGTTCACTTCCTTCCCAGGCCCTCTGCACTGCTTCGGAAAGCACAGAAGAGCTCTCTGTCGCTATAGATTAGTTTGCACTATAGATTAGTTTGTGCTATAGATTAGTTTACATAGGTTAAATACACACTGTGTATTCCTTTTGGTCTGGCTTCTTTCACAAGCACAATCATTTTGAGATTTATCTATCTATTTGGGATATTGGTAGTTTATTGATTTTTATTTTTGATGAGCACAGTATTCCATTGTATGAATACACCATAATTTGGTTATTTTTCATACGCTGATGAATTATTTTGTTTTGTTTTCATATTTGGGATATTATAAGTAAGACTGTCATAATATCTATATGAATACAGATCTCCTGTTGGGAAATACCAGAAGCGCAGTAGGTGGATTATATGATATATGTATGCTTAATTTTTAAAGAAACCATTAATCTATTGTCCAAAGTGATTATATAATTTCACATTTTCCTTCTAGCAAAGCAGTGTTTCAGTTCCTCTACTTTTTTTTTTTTTTGTTGTTGTTGTTGCTTTGAGACAGGGTCTGCGGTTCAGGCTGACCTTGAGCTCACTTTGTAGCCCAGGCTGGTCTCGAACTCGTAACAATCCTCCTGCCTCAGCCTCCCGAGTGCTGGGATTACAGGCGTCAGCTATCACGTCCAGCTTCCTCTACTTTCTTTGATATTTGGCATGACCAGTTTTTTAAATTTCAAGCTATTTAAATGGGTACTGTCCTGGTAACTCATACTATATTTAATTTACATTTCCCTAATGACTAATGATACTGAACATCTTCCTTGTTGATATTTTAAGTTGTTTTATATATTATTGACAGTGAAATATTGAAGTTTCTATTTATTGTTACTGAATTTTGTGTATCTCCTAATTTTTGTCAGTTTTTGCTTCATCTAGTTTTGGATGTTAATATATAATGATAATATATTAATGTCACATTTCAAAAACCAAATTCAAGAGAATGCAATCTACATATTTTTAATAGAAAGTATCACATTCAAACTAATATTAGATCTTCATCTAATACTCTATTGGCCAAACTCAATTATTATAATTTTGATTATATTTCTTAATTGTTTATTATTACATAAAATTTTAATTGCTGCTTTCTTAGTGGACTGGCTTCTATACTATAATAAAATTTACTTTTTTGGTCTCTACTGACAATTTTTTACATCAGAGTCTACTTTTTTCTTATATTAGCATAGTTACTCCAGTTCTTTTAGTTACTATTTGCATAATGTATTTTTTCCATGTTTTACTTTCTTTTTTTTTTTAAAATTAATTTGGAGATAGAGTCTCACTTGAACTCACTATATAACCCAGTGTGTTTAAGTGCCTGAATTTGTCGCCATCTTCTTGGCTCAGCTTGTGCCCATATACCCAAAATCCATCCTTTAACTTTCAACTTATTTGTATTTTGAGTCTAAAGTCTGTTTCAGATAACATAGTTATGTGATATATTTTAATCCTTTTTTGCCAATCTCTGCCTTTGAACTCGAGTGTTTAAATCCATTTATATTTAATGTATTTCTAATGAAGTAGCTTTACATTTTTTATTTTGATATTTGTTTTATATATAACTTAAGTGTTTTTTAATCAAGGAATTTTTGTGTTTTTTTCACAAGTAGATGTTAGATTGTTAAGTGCTTTTTTCTATGTGTACTTATATATTCACATATTAATATTTTTTGTAAACTTCATTTTTAAGAAAGTCTTTTGTTTCATATTTTGACCATTTAAAAAAATTTCTACCGGGTTAAGATGATTGAGGTTTGATATGATACTAGACAATAACCAGAAATCCAAATAAAGGGATATAGGTAGATCTACTTATTAGCATTCTATCAAAAGCAGTAACAATATCACTATATTCCATAGGTTTGCCTCAGAACAAATAAGAAGTGCTGAAACATTCCATTTTAATAACAACACTAGTAAACCAAAAAATGTCCAGAAGGCAGCAACAAGGATGATAATATCTAGAAATCACATGACATAAACAACTATTGATAGTACTGGTACTATTTATTCTGGAAACACTGAAGAATATGATTGGTTAGATACGATTAAAATTCCTGCAAAGGAAAAATACTGATCTCTAGAGAGACAGGTCATATTTTCTGTTGCAGCAAAGGATAAAAAATTACTAAGGTCAAAATCTTAATTCTTCTGAGGGAGAATTCTATTGGGATTAGAGCTTCACAACAGCTAGGCTGGCTCCTGTCTGAGGCAGTCTTTAAACTAGGAGGCATCAGGCAGAACACCTATCACCACATTTTAAGGACACTACAGATGAATGTCTATCTGGGTAGGTGAGGAAAGTATATGAGATTATAAAATCTTAAAGGATTCTTATAACTTTCAGTGCTCATGATCCTTAGCTGGTGATTCTGTGGTTTTCAATGTGGCGAACGTTGCCAGATATATTCACAAAAGGTGTTTGAGTTATGCATGGGAGCTGCCTTCACTATCACCAGCCTAAAGCAATGCTCAGATGAAAAAGCTTCAGATCCTTGAGTGCATTTATGAAGCCCCTGCAAGTTAACTATTTAACTTCTCTAACTCCTAGTGCTGCACCAAAGTAGGAGAAAAACATTAGAAAAGTAATAACCTCCATTATACATAATAAAGATATGAATCATTTAAAAAATATAAAATGATATATTGTTTAAATGTAATCTACATGAAAGTAATCACCCAATAATACAGGAGTAAAAGGTATTTTTAACTGCTATTATTCAAAATTGTTTTTTCATTTTTGTTACCAAGGATTGAACTCACAACTTTGCACTTGAATGCTGCTGAGCTAAATCACCAGTCCTTAACTGCTATTATTGTCATAAGCAAAATTAATAATAACAGATTATTTTGATGTTTAAAAACGTAAATTTCCAGTGGCTACCTGAGACCCAGCCACGTTGGGACTTAGGCGGCTGCACAAGAAAGCAATTTGCCTGCCCTCTTGGTAAGCACCCCTGGTGCTGGCTGGGAGGAGAACCAGCAGCTACCCAAGACTTGGCCATGTTGGGACTTACGCGGCTGGCGCCAGCCGGGAGAAAAACCAGTCAGCTGCTCCTGTGAGCCTATCGGCGCCGGCTGAGAATCAAACATTTACGCCCCCAAACCATCAGCAACGGGGGACAGAGTTCTGAGCATCTCTTGGGAGGAAGACCATATGCAATATAGCAAATAAGAGGGATTTCCTTCTACATTCTGTTTGAAGGCAAAGCTTATTTTCACTGCTATGTTTTGTAATGATTGTTATGCTCTATTCAATAAATATTCTCCTTCAATTGGTTTTACAATGGTCTGTCATTGGTTTGATTTCGCTATACCTAATTGACTGGACAACTACTGTGAAGATAGTGAGATATACTATAGTACCTATTTCTACTATCCTGCTTTGAAGTTCTGTACCATTGTCACTACATTGTCTTGTTTGGCTTTGTTCTGTCTTGTTCTGTTGTATTTTTACTACATCCAAAATAAAATTTAAAAAAGGTATAAATTTACCAAGGATATAGTGAAAAGAATTATAATCAATCAAGAAAAGCTAAAGCCAATAATAAAACTAAACAGCACACATAAAAGTCAAACAATATATCATTTATTATTCAAAATCATTTTAAAAATATTAGATTCATCTATTAGATGATAAAGTTTTGAACAATCAGGTAAGGTCTTACCATCAAACCTGTCATATCTCCAATGGCTACTAGCTTCTGGCCTAGGAATGACATTTGACACAGTGTTTTCAGCATCCTCTTCTCCATCACTTGCTAATTCTTCCTGAAGTTTGGTGCCTAACCAGTCACTGACCAATTCTTGGGCTATCAATAAAACAAAAACATCTTTTAAACATTTCAATTTCTTCATTCACTGTCTTAATTTTTACAATAAATATCACTTGAGCAACTATCATGTGTCAAGTATTATTCTACATGTTGGGAGTACATCAAGGAACAAAACTGGAAAAAATCAATGTGAAGCTTACATTCTAAATGGGAAAGAGAGAATAAAAGACATGAGAAAAACAAAGCAGGGAAAGATGTAGTATAGAAATGAAAGGAGGGTACTGTAGTTTTACACTGGGTAGTCAAAGAATGCCTCACTGAGAAGGTATAGGAACAAAGGAAGGCAGAGAGGGAGGAGCCACATGGTTATAAACGGGATATTATACTACTCAGAGGGAAAGCAGGGGCAAGGGCCCTATAGCGGGTGGGCCCAGGGTGCTGGAGAAACAGCAATGAAGCCGGTGTGGCTGGAGAGGAGTTGGGGGGATGAATATCTAGGAAAGAGGTGGATGGATGTTTCTCATTGTGTTTAGGAAAGAAAATGGGCTTGAAATATGCCCTTACATGTAACAATGGAGTTAACCCCAGAGCAAAATACCTTCAGAACAGCAGAAACAAAAATTAATAATGAAACTAAGACAAGCTTTTATTCTATACTTTGGACTGTGCTATATGCAATACTTTAAGAACTTTTAACATCACAGCTAATAATGTATTCTCTCACCTTCTATATAGACTTCATCATGAGCCTCTATTTGCTCGGGTGTTTCCAAATCTATCGTTTGGTTCCAAAGCCTTCCAGGTAAATCTGAATTTCTGGCAAAAAGTGTGTTGGAAACTGCAAATTCTGAGGCTAGCTCCACTTTCTTCACAATAACAGAAAAAAAAATCCATTAACATGACAGTAACCTTGCTTATGATTAGAATATTTCTCTCCTAAGAATCTAATTTGCTATCAAGTACTAAGATTCTTACTTTTCCATTTTTGATGGAATTGTGAGGTTTAAACATCCATAGCAAATATGTTTTTTAAATTTTACATATAGTATATAGCATGTCATCATATTATTTGACCAGATAAACACTGCAACAGGTGTTCACAATGTGTGTGTGTATATATATATATATATATATTTTTTTTTTTTTTTTGAGACATCGTCTCAGTATACAGTACAAACTGGCCTTGAACTCACTGTGATCCTCCTACGTCAGCCTCCTGAGTGCTGGGATTACAGGTATGCACCACCATGCCTGGCTCAAGGTTATTTAAACTCTAGGTAACTTTTGTTTAGTGCATTAGTAATTGAGATCCTGAGCCTGTATATTTTACTTTAAGCAAAAATACTGTATTTTGGCTGGGGATTTAGCTCAGTGGCTCAAAGGGCTTGCCTGGTAAGCAATGAGGTCTTGAGTTCGATCCTGAGCACCAAAAAACAAACAAACAAACAAGAATACTGTATTTTATTCATTCCCATGCCATGAGGAGTTGCATATGAATGTGAACCAAAGCCTGAGTATCACTACTTACTACTCCTGGAAGGAACTTTCCAATTAGGCAAATTATAGGTTCAGAAAAATTGAGGAGTCACTAATCTGAAATCATTCACAATGTTTAACTCAACAGCAGGAGTTGAGTAAGATTTTGAGTAAATTCATAGGATTGGGAAAGCAAATGTGGGATACAGACAAACTACCCTGGAATTCTGTGTGATCTGCTCAATGAAAAGTAATTTATATTACATTTCCACCTCTGATTTCCACTCTCCTCACAAACCTATTTCCATGTTCAGAGTCTTCCAACTTAGGCAGTGATGGCTCCTATTTTTTAGTTCTCCAGGAGGAAAGTTTTGGAATTTCATTCCAACCCTATCTATTCCCCATACAATGTGAGGAAATCTTGACTCTGTTTTCAAGATATATTCAGAACAGGGCTCCTTCCCTTCACTTCCACTGTTATCACCTCAGTCCAAGTTATAATAATTTCCTGACAGGTTTTCTGGAACAACCTTTCACAACAGAATGAGGGAACCCTTAAAATGAAACCCATGTCATCAGAATGGATTTTTTAAAAAACCAACAGTATGCTACATACAAGAAACACATTTAACAGTTACAAAAATGTGAAAAGATTAAACAAAAGTCAAACGATGAAAAAGAATATTCCATGCAACCAGAGCTCAAAAACAAGCAGGAGTAGCTATCATATTTTCAGACTAGCAGACTTCAAGCCAAAACTGATCAGAAGAGATGAAGGTCACTACACACTGGTAAAAGGAACAAATTAACATGAAGAGATAACAATGATAAATACATATATACCAGTACACCCTACTTCATAAACCAAATAGTACTGACAAAAAAGGCCAGATAAACATCAACACAGTCATGATGTGGGAACTTAACACCCCACTTAAACTGTCAGATGAACCAAGCCTTAGAACAAGTGGACTTAATAGATATCTATAGTGTTTGACCTAACATCAACAGATCGTCAGCACGTGGAATTTACTCCAAAACTGACTATATATGAGGCTATAAAGCTTGCTTAAATAAACACAAAAGAATCCAAATAGTCCTAGGCATATTATCAGATAGATCATAGTGCAATGAAACTACAAATCAGTAGCAAGATAAACCAGAGAAATTATGTAAACACATGGAGAGTAAGCAATACACTTTTGGATAACCAAGGAACACAGAGAAAGTCAAAGAAAAAAATACTTCCTAGAATCAAACAATAATAACCAGTAAACCATTCCTGAAATTATGGAACACAATGAAAGCAGTTCTAAGAAAGAAGTTTATAACTGTGAATGCTCACATCAGAAAAACACAGTGATCCCAAACAAATGACCTAATGATACATTTCAAGGCTTTGGAAAAGTAAGAATAAATGCCTAAAACTAGTAGAAGGAAGAAAGTACAAAGATAGAATGGAAATTAGTGAAATTGAAACTAAAAAAAAAAAAACAAAAAACAAAAAACAAATCAATGAATGGAAGAACTGGTTGTTTAAGAGAACAAACAAAATAGACAAATCATTAGCCAAACTTACCACAAGGAAAGAAAAAAACCCATATCCATGCAATTAGAAAGAAAAAGGCAAAATAAAATGGAAACACTCCAAAATTCAGAGGATTAGAAGTGACTACTCTGTAAACCTGTACTTCAATAAACTGGAATCTAGCAGAAATGAACAGATTTCTAGATGCATGTGAATTACCAAAACTGGACCAAGAAGTTATCAACAATGTAATTAAGGCAATAAAAAATCTTAACAACTAAAACCACCCAAAACCCAATGGGACGTACCACTGAATTCTACAAGAACTTTAGGGAAGATAACATCGAATTCTAACAAAATTGAAAGGGAAAGAGTACTCCCAAAGTCATTCTGGAAATTAGCATTACACTTATACCATGAATAGATCCACACTTACCAAAAAATAAAACTATAGGTCAATCTCGTAAGTGAACATAGATAAAAAAAAAATGTCAGCAAGATACTTGTAAACAGAATAAAACAAATCATCAAACAGACCATATTCAGGGCCAGAGATATGGCTCAGGGGCATAGTGCCTGCCTGGCAAGTGCAAGGTCATGAGTTCAATTTCTGGTACCAAAAGAAAAAAAAAATCATATCCATTGTGACCAAGTTGTACAGGATGCAAGGATGGTTCAGTGTGTGCAAATCATTAAATGTAAAACATGAAATAAATAGAAACAAAGACAAAAACCACATGATCATCTCTTCAGATGTAGGTATGCTTTTTACCAAATCCTAACATCCATTTACGATACAAACCCTGAAGAAAATAGGGATAGAAAGACCTCATGTCAACCTAATAAAAATCATTTATGACAAACCTACGGCCAACATCATACTAAATGGTGAAGAAATGAAAACTTTCCCTCTAAAATCAGGAAAAAGACAGGGTTGTCCACTTTCAACACTCTTGTCAATAGAATATCAGAAACTTTAGTTAGAGGTATCAGGCAATAGAAAGGGGAAAAAAGAGGGAGGTATGGTAGAGGAAAGAAGGGGTCAAGCTTTCCTATTCACAAGTAACATGATCCTATACATAGAAGATCCAAAAAACTCCTCTGAAAGATTTTTAGAACTAATAAGTTCAGCAATGCAGCATGATACAATCAACAATAAAAATCAAAAGCATATCTGAATGAATAATGAATACACGAAGAAAAATTAACAACACTATTCACAATAAATTCAACAAAAGTAAATACCTAGTTATTAACTTAACAAAGTAAAAGATCTCTACAACAAAACCCGTACTACTCTGAGAAAGAAGACCAAAGAGGGAGGGAAAAAAAAAAAAACAAACAAACAAACAAACAAACAAACAAACAAAAAAAAAAACAAAGAGAACATCAGAAAGTGAAAATTCATCCCCTGTTTGTGGATAGGCAGAACTAATAATGTCAAAATGGCCATATTACTAAAACTGATTTACAGGTTTAATGAAACTCCAATCAATATACCAAAAGTATTCTTAAAAGAAATAGAAAAAATAACCTTAAAACTCACATGGACCCAGAAGTGACCCAAAATAGCAAAAGCAATCCTGGGAAACAAGAGCAAGGCAGGAGGCATCACAACTTCAGATCTCAAACTATATTACAAAGCTATAGCGATTAAAAATGGCATGGTGGTGACACACACAAATGCTCACACACACACACACACACACACACACACACACACACACATGCACACAAAACAAGTGAATCAATGTGACAAAATAGAGGATGTAGAAACAACCCAGGAACATTCAGCTGTTTTATCTTTGACAAAGGAGCAAAAAAAAAAAAAAAACATCCTGAAGGAAAGACAGCCTCTTCAACAAATAGTTGTGAGAAAACTGACTATCCATGTGCAGAAGATTGAATCTAGACCCGCATCTCTCATTATGAACTAAAATCAAGTAAGAGTGAATCAAAGATCTAAATATTAAAACAGAAACAATCTGCTGAAAGACGAAATAGGTACAATGCCTGGACACCTAGGCACAGGCAAGGACTTTCTGAACAGAATTGTAATTGCACAAGACATAACACAAAGAATCAACAGTCAATTTAATTACATGAAATGGAAAAGTTTTGTAGGAGAAAAGGGTCTATAAATAGAGAAAGTCTTCACTGGGTTTCTAGTTAATCCTGCACTTAGCAGGACAAGAGAGGCAGACGGGCAGAGGCAGGGGAAGCCAGGTGCTCAAAATCAAGATAGGTGCCTGCTCCCCGCTCCAAAAAAATGCAAGAGACAAGAGGCAGCCACCTAAAAGAAAGCTCTTATTTAGTGTATAAAAACATATATATTTCTACTCTAGGGCCACTAAATTAGTACACCAGTTCAGTTAATTGCTAACTCAACCTTATATATGGTCCATTTTTTAAAAATCCCATAAATTCTAAAGCTAAGATTCTGACAAACTCATTTACAAATGTGCACATATTTGATGGTGCAGAGGGTAAGTGGTCTTGGAGACTGGGATCGATCTCTGACAGCCCAGGAAACCAATTAGATTATGATACATTCCAAGCAAGGGGGAGGGAGCTTGACCCTCTTTTTAAGCCCCTACAAGGGTCCACAGCTATCCTGGTCTGGAGTCCCTGTCTTCTTACAAGATAGCTGTCTGTGGCTACTTCTCTTCCTTCTTTCAAATAAAGTGTTTCTGTTCTCCCTTCTACTCCCTCCTTCTCTCCCTCTAATTTGTTACTGATATAAGTTTACGATTCCCAGTTGGTTGTGCTGATAGGTGAGATCATGATTCCCAGATAAGACAACTTCTACACAACAAAGGAAACCACCAACAGAGTGAAGAGACAACCTATAGAACGGTAAAA